TATATCATGTTGTGTAGACACTTGCTAATTCAAGTCCTGCTAACACTGAATTAACAGTTAGAAGGCTAATCAAAAGATCGTTAGTGTGGATTGAACTCTTTATGAATTATTCAAAAAGAGATTCCTCTGTGTGAAGGAAAGTCCTTAAGAGTTATTTTTGTAGGGATTTGATTTGTTTCAAGTTTGATAACGGACTGATATGAGTTGCAGAACCAACTAAAACTAGCAGGGAGTACTGGACAACTATTTTCTCCTAGATTGAGTCTCATCAGGAGTACGAACCCACTGGGATTCGAACCCAGGACTTTCTGGTTACAAGTCAAGCTTATAAATTACTCATAAATTGATAGAAGTTAAAATTTGTGGGCTACTAATTCTCGTCTCAGTGCCTGAAAGGTCTATGAGCTCTATGCCTTGTAATCGTTGGATCCCGGATCCGAACCCCAGTGGGTGTTTATTTCCGATAAGTTGGAAATTAGGCTGTCCAGTACTCTCTGGTAGTTTTCAATTCTTCTCTAACTGATATCAATCTGTGGTCAAACATGATGGGGAAAAAAGCGCAGTCTGTATTATTGGATCCATGTGGAAAGATGTAAACAGAACACCAGTTGGTATTTTTAGTCGATTCATATAAAAGTACATAAACCATTCAGCTACTAGGACCCGACGGAATGGCCACCTCATGAATTCTAACTTCTACCAGTTCGTGATTTAGTGCGACAGGCACCGATAGCTGTCAGCTGCGGGACATCCATCTTTACACTTGACTGGATGGACCTCAAAAGCCAACTGTTGAAAATTAATCTGATACTCACTAGTGACTGCCTACAGGACAGAGTTTCCTGTACTTCTATTGAGAAGTTGTGACCAGTAAGGTCCATTCAATCAAGTGTGTGAGGATAGATGTCCCACCGATGACACTACCTGGTGTCTGTCGCACTAAGTCACGAATTGATAGAAGTTAGCATTCATGGGCTGATCATTAAATCGGGTCCCAGTGAGTGGCTGAATGGTATACGAGCTTGCCTTGTAACGGGAAAGCCCTGGGGGGTGGGACCTTGGTGGGGGGGGAGTGCATACTGCCGATGATTCCTCAAACTAGGCGGATGAAACAGCTGTTTGTCCAGTACTCTCTGTGACTGATATTCTGATGGTTCTCTACCTGATATCAATCCGTAGTCAAACTCGTCAAAACAAATCTAATCCTTACAAACCAACTATTGAAAAAAGCACACTAATTTAATCACACATTCCATACGCACAAGTTTCATTTTCTAGTCCATAAAATGACCATCATCTTTGTATCATCATGATTATTATTTGACAATACACATTCATGTACGTACAACACATAAACAAGTAGGTAATTACAATTTATATTTTGTTTTTATTATTCATCCTGGATGTAATTTACTTGTTATATATTTGAAAAAATTTCTCCTTTCTGCATCTAGTAATTAAAACATTCATCTTTTACCAATGGCCTGCCTGTTCTTCATGAAAATCCTTCTTCCTTTCCCTTCTTCTTCTCCTTCGATATCTTCTACTTGGTCAATAATCTTGCGTCCCTTCAACCAAACAAACCAACCACCCACGCACCCACCCACCCATCAATCAACCCACCAACCTCACATTAACCCTCTTTGCCAACAAGTACACACGCACATATATACATTGCATCTCTCCTTATAATTTTCAGGTGTGTTGTGTGTACGCGTGGATCAGATATCAGTAAAGGCAAATTGTAATAAATATTTTTTTTGTCAGTTAGGCGATAATTTATTTCCTCTGTGTTGTGTTATTTTGTATCACAGTCGTATCAAAAAAAATTTCTCACTGTAGAGAAAAGTGTGTATGATCATCATCATCATCATCATGATTATTACTGTGTCATCAAAGCAGAACAAACAACAACAACAAAAGATTCCTCCCTTATTCCCTTTTTTATACTTCTGTGATGAATGGACATGCTAAATTTAATGCTAAAGGGGAATTAATTTTGTGTGCAAAGGTTGTGTGGGTGGGAGTTTAGGGGTGGGTGGTGTGGGAGGAAACGAGTGGGTGGAAGGCATGAAGAGATACCTCCTTTTTTTTATAACGTACAAATCATAATTTATTATGGATCTTAATCTATATTTTTTTTCTTAATATAAAATATTAATGATTCCAATATAGAAATCAGTGTTAGAAGTTTTTATTCAATCAACATTTTATGATAAATGGTATTCATCAGCTTGATGAAAATAATTTGAAAGGATAGAAGAAAATATCTATGAGACATAATTCATTTCTAAGAGAAATATTTATTTCAATTTTGATCAGAGATAAATATCAAGTGTGTAGAAGCATTGAAAACTATGCGGAAGAACTGGACAGCTGTTTCATCCACCTGATTTGAGACTCTTTGACAGAATATACCCACTGGAGCTGGAACCAATAATCTTTCCTAGGAGCTAACCCTTGAAAATCGAATTTTTATTCTATTAAAGGTGACTATAAATAAAATAGTCTAACAGACACCTTTCTTTGATGGTATTAGAAGGTTTGAGGTAATCGGCCACAGGAAGCCTTGGACCTAGGTTTCGTGCTAGTTGGCACTCGTCGGCAAGGCGAGCTAGCTAGAATGGTGGTCACAGTACAACCTGACTGATAGAATTTCAGCCGTAACAACCGGGGAACCTTAAGGAAAAGGGTGGCGCGGGCTCGAATCTCAGAAGGGACATGAGTTCCTTCAAGGTTGCATATACGCCTTGCTGACTGGTGAGTGGCAACTAGCACGAAACCTAGGTCCAAGGCTTTTTGTGGCCGATAGCCTCCAACCATCTAATACAAATCAATGTGCAGCGTGATGGCGAGCTAGCTAGAATGGTGGTCACAGTACAACCTGACTGATAGAATTCAGTCTACACCAATCAGAGGACTAGACGCATCCCACTGGTTACTAGTGTCAAATCAAGACACCTTTCTTATTGTTGTTGGATTTTACTCTGCCTAGATGTTTTGTGTCTATTGATGTATTGACTCATGTAATGAACGCTACAACGATCCTTTAAGGCGAACCTAATGTTATTTGGTTAACAGCGGCTAGCAGTGTGGTGAGATCCAGAATGTTTGTTCCACCTTATCTGAAGCTTGTTATCTCGATGTATTTCTACTCCAGGAAATGATAAATTTCCTGTTGAAACTCAAAGACAATAGCTATGTGTCAAGATGCATACTTTGTCCTGTTTGAGACTCGTCATCTGGAAGTACCTACATTTCCAGCAAGCGATGATGTCCCAATTGACGTGCCAAATCATCCAGTATCCATCATTTCAAACTCCTAAGCGTTCGTTATCCAGTAGACCACTAGGGCTATGAGGAGCACCTCTTGTGTAAATCAGTTTTGATTTTCTTGTTGATTAATTGGACAGAAATGTCCAGCCTGTGTTGACATGCTGGCTGCTAGTCAGGGCGTTTAGGCTGATACCCATGAGAATACTATCATTCATTGGGAATGCAGCTACATACAGATGATGAGTCACCAACAGAACGAGATGCACATTTTAGATTTCGCTGCTATTCACCACCCACCAAATTACTTCAGGTTAATTCACAGAAACCATTGAAGCTTCTGTACTAGGAGTGGGCTGACGTTTCACGAAAGGCCAAACATTTGGGTCCAGTCAGTCAGCAGGAAAATCAAAAATGAGTTAATGACAAATAAAAAATGACAGACGTGGGGAACCAAGAACCACTGGATAGTTGCTTTATTTCACGATGTAATTCACATTAAAATATGAGCATCTGTAGCTTTCTAGTAGTTGTAAAATAGATGTCCTGAAATTCTATAGGATGTCGTCGTCAGAGGGTTCCAAAATATCAGGTTGGAACGTGAGCCACATTGCAAACTCACAGAAGTTAGAAGTGATGAATGATTAAATCTCATCTCCTTGGCTGAATAGTCAGTGGGCTGTCTTCGTAACCTGTTGATCATGACAACAATCGATCCCTGGTGTCATTGGTGCCTACAACACTAGTGTTCTAAAATCTAAGACGGAATAGTTGTTCAATGCTGTTTGGTTTCCATGATTCTATACCTGATTTCGATTCGTGATGAGGCTTAAACTGAAACTTAGAACTTGCTATTAGAAGTCAACATATCATTCAAGCGTTTTCCAACATATTAGACTTCAGAACTGACTTGAAACATGTCTTTTCAGCCTACATAAACATTCTGAAATGTAGATTTTCCTGATCATTATGGAATACACTCAGTTGTGAATCCTATTCTCTACGCAGGTGATTAACAATACAACTACAGGATAAGGAGATGTACATTTCAGTTCATCTCATATTTCGTGGTAATATTTAGGTTTCAGTAGGCAAGGAGTAAGGGGTGGTCAACATCTAGGCTTCTTCTTCTTCTTCACTTACTAAAATTACTGTTTCAGAGATAAGAAGAGTTCGAATGTCTCAGTGGATAGAAATGACATGGACCGCCGCCCACTCTTGTTGTCCTTCCCCTCTCCTTCAATACAATAAGTTTCCCTATTAACTCCTGATTGATATCCCCTTAATGAAATCGACTTGTTAGATAAACCGACCACGTTAAGAATTACTAATTCTAGTTTATGCTTTCTTATCCTCATTCATTTGTGTTCCATCAACTTTTGAAAAATAACACTTCAATTTTTTATATGTACAAATGTATTTTACTGATAAATATTTCTTTACAGAAAGCAAACAAAAATTATATACATTTTTATATACTACTTATATAAACGTATGTTGGTTGTTTGTTGTTAGCTGGAAGAAGTGATAATCAAAGATTATTTGTATTTTATTTTGAATAAATTTTGTGTGTCTGTGTGTTTGTATGTGTAATAAATAACAATTAATGCCAAATATCCAATGGAAAAGGGATACCTCACGTCGTGTAAAATAAAGTGGGAAGGAAGATGAGTACTAGGAGATTCCAGGTAGAAAGTGGAGAAAAATCGTCCAGGTGATTCTTGTGTTCATTTGTATGTACAGAATATTCTGTGGACAAAATAAAATAAAGAAAATGACATAATTTAATGAACACTGAGTTGAATAGGATTTGAAGACAACAAGAACAACATTTTATGGAGAATAAGATAGTTTCGTCATTTATTCTGTTGGATTCTCATCAGCTGCTTACAGCTGAAGATATCAGTATTATTGTTACTATTTTTACGTACAGAATTGGGAGAATTTGAGAAGAGATATTAGAAAATAACGGCTACCTTCAAAGATTCATTAACAAGTACATAAGATGTGAAGAATCGAATACCAAACGGGTCACAGTGAGAAAAAGACCTATCTTCATTCAACTCGGTTCTAAAAGTGAAAATATTGCAGGAATAGTTAACAGAAGATTGAATACATCACTAGCTAGAGTATATTCTGCAGCTAAGTTGGTTCCCGTCTATCGAACAACATACTCTTTAGTACAATCAAAAGTCAGCAGACACCCTTCTCGTGTTAACTCCCTCTGTCTATATAAATTTACGTGTATCTGGGGAGCAGTTGCATTGGAAGAACAGAAAGAAGGACACACCTCAGATTTTCTGAACATCTCCCAAAAAAAAACGATTTCGTCAAGGGAACAAATACTTACAGTGGTGCCATCGCCAAACATCTCACTAATAGGGGTCATCAGGTGGACATAGTGAAGTCCAATCAAATTATCAGAAGATAAAATAGTTCAATTCTCCTCAAGTTTGTCGAAGCAAGCATGTCGGTGGTTCAACTATAGATTACTAGATGACCATACATGTGATCCGGGATTCCCAGTTGTCTTACATCTTTACCTCCCCTAGTCTGGAGTAGGTCCGATAAAAAGAGGAAAGGCTGGGCGTGTGGGTAGCAATCCCAACTCTTAGAAAGCCACCACTAATTCTTAAGCGGCACAGCTCAAGCCTGAAGCCCTACTTTCCACTGAGAACTTAAAGGAATAATAAATTGCCGAAGCGGTCTCTGTCACACGACTTAAATCCAATTTATGTGTTTAGAAAGAAGCAGTTGTCAGTCTTTCTTTGCGTATTTATCTGGATGTCTTTATTCCCTCTTTCACTCGATTACATAATCTTTCGCTTTAATCTCCTGTCCTTATTACGTAATTCCTTTACGATTGTTTGCATTCATTAGTTTTTTTGTTTAAACTTGGCCTCGCTGGATAAGGACTATATGAAATATAATTTTATGCGAACTCTTTATTAAATTTGGAGCCTTCTGCCAACTGACAATATGTAACACTTGCATATATGTTAAAAATTGTTCTGTACGTAAACTTGATAATTTCATCAGGCTGTACGCAGCTGATGAGAAACCAACAGGAAAAATGCTAGTAACATCTTATTCTGCATAATCAGTTGTTCTTGCTTTATTTAACTTCATAAAGGCGAATAAATGTATGACGTTAAATAGGACTGGAAAGCACTTTTTGGTATCTTGTTGTTCATAAGAAAGAATATTACCAGAAATAATTTGTGTTTTGAACGTTATTTAAAAGTTGCGTAAATCACTTGCACATAATGGATATTTTTAAATTAACCACTTACTTTCTTTAGGTAAAAGAAAAGTGTAGTCACCATTTAGAAAAACCTCAGTGAAGTTGTCACTTCCAACTGCATATGCCACTGATGAGGATTGCAAAACCAGTCAGGCTTAACAACGGAAGGCAGGAGGTGTCCATTACTATGAAATCAATATGGAGGTTGACAGTGCTTGTCACAAAGTAAACGGTATAAGTTTTCAACGCCGATGTTAGATCAGTGCTGTTATATGCTTCAGAGAATCGACACATTACTAGGACTACCTACTCTTATCAGGTTGCAAACTTATTATCAGATGCCTTCAGACTATGGTAAAGAACAAACAACTAGCCGGGTAGGCAACAAAAACAGTCCAGAAGGTATTGCTCAGCAAGTATTCAAAAGAAATTGGAGATGGATAGGAAATACTCTGGATGGACTGCTCAGTGATATCCCACGCCATCCATGATGGCCCTAGAGTTAAGCAGCTAGTTGGGCATGAGTCCAAGAGTAAAATGGAGTAAAGTATGTTTAGAGAAAACTAAAACCCTGTCAGAAATCATGTACCCACTGGAGTATAATAGAAGACAGCCGAGTGGAATACAGAGTCTTTACCGAAGCCCTTTGTTCTGCACTCTTAACTGATTTTGGTTGTTTGGAAGTAGTCATCAAGAAGTCTTAGCTTAGGTTTCATGCCCACTGGCAATGGTTAGCAGGAAGTATCTATTAGCTCGTTGGAAGTACTGTTACTTCACAAACTGGAGTCGATATTAATAGTGTTATAACTTAGCTGTTATTGCCTCTTAGCTGATTGCTTCCAACCATCAGTAGGTGTGTATGCTGTCGATGATTATCAAGCAAGGAGGAATATACCGCTGCTCAGTACTAACAGGTTTCTTGGCAGTGCGCTTACTGATGTCAACTCCTGATGAGACCTGTAATAAATTCAATTCACACTAACTACCTATCACAGACTAACATATATATATATATATAACTTACCTATTTACACTTTGTAGTACACTGAAATATTAGTGTGTTAAATGGAGATATTTCTTCTTCTTCTATCACAAAGGCAAAAAGCATCCTGAAGCGGACTAATTCGAGGTCGATAGACTGTTGTTACATGAAGTTGCAGATTTAACCGTTTTATTCACCGGGAACATGTCTGAAGAAGAACAAGGAAAAACAGAATATAGAATGCGTAGACAATAATTTACTTTCGATTACAGAATTTATAGGTATCTCGAATTAATTTCAACTGCTGAGTTTTCTTCACGAGTCAACGTTAGTTAGAGAGATTATTGGAAACCAGTAGGGAGCACTGGACTTGAAGCTGCAGTGGGAGTCTATCAATATTAAGGTGAACAGCGGTAGTCATCAAATGCTTTTTTTTATTGAGGGTAGTGGAATATCACGCAGGAGTTGACAAAGTTATAATTCAGAAGTTATAGAATTGTGACCCAAATGAGTGAATAGTCACTGAGCAATTATATCGTGACCTTAAGGTCCCAAGTCCGTTGCTGTGCCCGTACACCCTCGTTTCCAATGATCTCTCTAACTGATGTTGTATCAAGATGATAATATAACAACTGGAAATAATCCAGTTGATTTATGTCTACAAATAGTGAGGTTAAAAAATCAGTTAACATTGATTTATTTAGCTGACAGTGGTATTCTGGACAAGCGTTTCGTCCTGTGCTGGACTCGTCATCCGGCAGAATATAATTAATCAAAGGGAAATTCAAAATGATTATTTTAGCAAATACATTGAAGTGAGAAGCGGAGAATGGAGACCATAGAGTGTGTACACACCAGTATACTTGAGCACATATTAATCATTGGATAACAGAACCCACAGCGTATTCTACATCGAAAAGCCGTTTATATTTACGCAAAAATTCAAGATAATAGTAATGATAATTACAATAATAATGAAAGGCATTAAAGATGGTACTTTATCCTAACGTAACTGAAAAATACCTCACAATTACAAAGAAGAGTATCAGTTTTCAAGTTGCACAGCTATCAAAGCGATTTCACCTATATGAACAATGAAACTCTCCTCCCATTTATTATTTACAAGAAATATACTGATGGTGACAATAACACACTCTAGCAATAACTTCAACTTCTAATCCGTACCCCAACCGTAATACCTACCCTAACGCTAAACCTAACCTTAACCACAACATTAATACTAATTCTAATCCTAACTTCCTATCCACCTGTTATCCAAAACTATGCTTAGAAACAAGATAAGGGTGAAGGTTATACATCAGTTTGTGCACATCATTCATAGTCGTGCTGTAATAACAACAGGTTGTGTAATCCAGTGAATAGTATCCGTTGAAGATTATCGGTGGGTGCATTCGCAATTCATAGCACGGTTGGTCACGTTAAAATTCACTTATCGCGTGAATGGATCGATCATCCTACTTCAGTGTGTTTTCAGAAATATACCTCACTAGAATACTTTGGCTAAATTACCAAATAAATGAATAACCACCTGACAAACATATGCAGTAGGGTGGAAATTGTAATCTCATTCCTTAATACAAAATACATAAGTTAGAGAATCATTGAAAAATTAGCTATTTCGTCCTAGTTTAACACTGTTCAATAGTGATCTCCTTTGTGGACTGCCAACCTGATAGTTCTGGCTTTCGTTCTGTAGTGCACGCATGAGTGTCCACAGTGGTGAGTGTCAATCTGGGACGAAACAGTCGTGTTTTTTTATTGATTCTCTAACCGATGTCACCTCGTGGCGTAATTCTGTCTGTCTGTGTTGAATGTATTTCAAAACATATTTCTACGCATTTACGAATGGAAAACCCCGACATTGTTGATTTGCTCTAAAGAATTTAGAAATGAAGCCAATAAATATGATATATAACACCAGAAATCAAACGCTGATTTACTTTTTACTAATTACAGTTATTAAACAATTATGAAAAACACTGAGCTGAACAGTCTTCATGTTCAATTGGTGGATGGTGGCTAGCAGTGGAATCCAGGATAAAGCGCATTTTCGTCCTATTTGGGACTCGTCAGCCAGCTGGATGTACCTGCATTTCTCAGTGAGTGATGATGTCCCACCACCGAGGCTCGAACTCACTGTACATTGTTTCTAACGCCAAAGCGTTATCCACTAGACCACTTGGGCCACGAGAACCACCTCTTGTGCAACGGGTCATATTAATTATTGAATTGAATTTTTGATTTTCCCGTCGATTGATTGGACCGAAGTGCTCGGTCTCAGGTTGACATGTCGGCTTCTCGTGCAGATGCTTCGACGATGTCTGGATATTTAATTAGTATACAAATGGTGGATGGTGGCTAGCAGTGAAATCCAGGATGCGCATTTTGTCCTATTTAGGACTCGTCGATAGCTGGATGTACCTGCATTTCCCAGTGAGTAATGAGTCTCAGATAGGACGAAATGCGCATCCTGGATTCCACTGCTAGCCACCACCCACCATTTGTATACTAATTAAATATCCAGACATCGTCGAAGCATCTGCACAAGAAGCCGACATGTCAACCTGAGACCGAGCACTTCGGTCCAATCAATCGACGGGAAAATCAAAAATTCAGTTCAATAGTCTTCATGTTCATTTGACCTGTAAAATGTTTCATTAAACATCCAACCGTAGTTTTTACTTCGACCACAACCCATTGTCATCGTCTAGTATTTATCCTCACTGTGGACTGGCTGGACCCCAATAATTACAACTTCTCTCTAGAACTCACTCCACACAGTTTTCTCCTACACCCAGTCACTTACTAGAAAGCATCAGAAGAATTTTCAAGAGTTATATTGTAGGCTAAGTCCTGGTGTTTGAACACTGGTGTAGGCATACTTCCGATGACTCCCAATCAAGACTGACAAAAAAGTTTTCGATGCTATTGTAGCTTAAATCAGTCCATGGTCAAACTTGAAATAAAACAAATTTTAGTAGATACTATTGATAGTGTAATGCCTTTACATCAAACAAAGGACTAGACTCATGACACTAGTGAGTGTCCACTTACAGTATCTAAAATACTCCTTAAGGAGGTCAATTGCCAGCCTGTATGCTTCAGTGGTAACATTTCTGACTGTAATACTGGGGGATACGGGTTTGAATCTAGAAAGAACATGGGTTACTTCAAGAATGTAGGTATGTGCTGCTGATTTTTTATTTTATTATTATTATTTTTCCATGATTACAACTTGATTCCACACCGTATTTTTGGTACTAGTATGGAATTTTCAGCGTGGATATCGGTAGCCCAAATTTCGCAGGCCGGCCATAGATATCACGTGTGCGTTTGCGTAGGCTCAAACCCCGACCATGTGCATGGTCGGCGAGAGTCCTAACCACTGTGCCACCAACGCATGCTGGCAAACATGAAACCCAGGTCAGGTGGGACTCCCTACTGATCGGCTTCAATCATCTGATGCTCACTAGCGACTGGCCTTATTCAGGTAGTTAACCTGGGGTTCTAGTGGGAAGCCGTGACCAGTAGTGTACAGCAAGTCGAAGATGAGCAGTAACTCATCGAAGAAGACATTGCAAAATGGTAGCTCTGTGTCGCGAATTGGCAGAATTTAGAATTCAATAACCATTGGATAGGGTCACAGTGGCTCGATGGCCTACGAGGTCGCTTGCCTTCTAACCAGAAAGTCCTGGGTTTGAAATGCTGAAGAGTCCCAAACCAGGACGAAACAGCTGTCCAGTACTCCCAGGTTTCCAGCGGTTCTCTAACTGATGTCAGCTCATGGTGAAATCCTCCATACAATCAAACAAAATCCTTACAAAACCAATACTTGAAAATCTAATTAAAGTCCGCTATTTTTATTCATCGTGTCTTTGCAAATGAATAATAGTGGAAACGTTTGTGTGTTCCTTTACTGGTTAAACATGAAATCAATAATCACAACGTTATTAATAAATATTTGCTGCAGCCTAAATATATCTTATAATTTATGAATTACACATTGGAAGAACTAATCTCGCTTTATGCATATTTTCATCAAAATAAAACGCTAAATTTATCATGATAATAAAAAGTGATAATGATTAGACTTACCAGTTAATTTTAATTGTTTCAAATTTGTTGTTGTTGTAACAGAGGAACAACTAGTCCACTTTCCACTTGACTTTAAGGAACTTCCCACTGTTTTCATGGATTTTTTGTCATTGGCGTTAGAATATTTAAAGGAGTCATTCGAAGAAGAATTATTATTTCGACTGATTCTTGTATTCACAACATGTTGAAGGCGATTTGTTTGGATATATTCGCCCTCACTTTGACTTCTCACAAGTGTATCACTCAAGTTTTGCATTGAACTGGATAAACTAGTATTGTCCAATCGGTTTCGAACTCGGGCACCATGGAGTCGTGATAATGACAATTCTGATGATGGTGATGAAGGCAGAGAAATACAGTCTCCAGGATCTGATACATGTGACACCGTCTTATCCATGTCACGGAACACTAAAGAATCTTCTGAGGTGGATAAATCCACAGAATTGAATCTGTTGCTTTGATAAATTCGCCTTGCTTTCTCATCATCATCATCATAGATTTATGTGGTGTATTTGGTGGGACTGATTGTCCATTATAGCATTTTGATTGTATGTGTAAATAAGTGTCTGAATGATATTCACTGGTCAAGTAGAATGGAGGGATGTAAACTTTTCTACAGTCTAACTGTTCCCAGTTCCATATTTGTTTGTGTGGAAGCTTTTGATGACTGTCATGACACGTGCATTTGCATGTTGATGCATTATCACACTGATTTTCCTGATCACTTTCATAAATGCCTGAGTTGTTTTCATCAACAGATTTCATAAGATTCAATCGAAATTGTAACGTTGACGAAAGTCTTCTACACTGTGTTGACATATTTGTGTTAATCTGTCTTGACAACATCGCTTGATGATACTTCCACTCAGTTTACTAGTGTTGTTATTATTATTGTCATTTTGAGTATCTATGCATAAAGTATTCTCAAGAGAACTAAATAAACATCGTTGTGGGTTTGTTGAAATAGACTTTTTTGACATCCTTTGAATAATTTATTTCCCTCTCCTTTTAGGTTTAATTTAAAAAATATATATTTCTTGAAGAGCACACTTAATTGTCTCAGCGATAACTTGAAGAATGTAATCCGATTACAGATAAATACTTAAGGATTCTTTTAAAACAAATTTCTACGCCTTGTGATTGGTTAACACTGGTTATCGAATAAACCAATGAAAATTGAGTGGATGACTTGAAGTCATTGTACACGGGGGCAGAAATTCTGTGTGAAAACCAACCACGTGTGTCGTTTATATTGTGTGTGAAAAGAGACTAGTGTAGGTCTAGTGCATTTATTCATATGTGGTAGGGAGAAAAATTAGCGAAAACAATTTGTCAGTTATATATGAACAGTATCCGTTTACACTGAATAGATAGAAAGGGTGGTGGTGGTGGTGGTGGGGAATTAACGGCATTTTGTATGTAAATGTAAAAGGCAAAACTATATACAGGCGTCCTATTTCATCGTGTTTTTTTCTCTAGTGTAAAGTGTCTCTCAACTTCCCTCTAACTGCATTCTAGTTAGCAAAATAGCAGAACACAACCATTCACTATCCAAGAAATAGCTACTTTTTGATAAAATGTGTATTCCCGTTGTTCCCATTGTTCATACCAGACACTCAGCTTAAATTAATACGATTGGTAAGATGAGAAGTTGACTCATCACTATGATCCCACGAGGACTCGAATCCAGGATATGCCAGACACAAGTCAGGTTCAAAGAACATTCAGGCCTAGGACCTGACTCAACGGTCAGTTCATGAATTATAAATTCTACCAGTTCGTGATATTTGGTGCGAGCACCGACCAGTGTCATCGACAGGTATTTATCTCCACTCCGGGCTGGATGGACCCCACTAGTAGAAACGTCTCACTAGAACTCACTTCAGTTAAATTCGTCCTACACCCAGTGGTCACTAGCAAGCATCAAATTAATTTTAAAAATATAATATTTGTTGTCGTTACAATAAGGCCAGTTATGCAGCGAATACATTTTTTAACGTAACTGCTGTATACCCAGTCTTTAACGTTGATGGTGTTAATAACTAAATACTGTCAGCACAGGATGAAGCGAGTTCAAATCTCCTTTGGTGTATTAGATTTATTCAAGGTTACAGATAAACTTCGCTATAGGGTAAGCCAATGAGCATGGAGCATTTCGTCCTATTTGGGACTCATCAGCCAGCTGGATGCACCCGCATTTCACAGTGAGTGATGATGTTCCACTACCACTGAGGCTCGAACCCAATGGCCATAGTTTCAAACACCAACCAAAGCGTTATCCACTAACCGCTTGTGCCACTCCATTAGATCAGTCGACGGGGAAATCTAAAATTGAATTAAATAATTTGCATGCATTGTTTGTTTGTTTGTTTTTGGTCAATAATTTACTTAGCTATAATCACTTCCTTTTGATAAATACATCTGTTATTGACCTGATGCTCAACATGTTAGAATCAGCTGGTGGCTGCAGCTGTTTATCCCTTTAGGCTATAAGGATTAGATTATAATTACTTGAAAAGTGATTATTGTTAGATTAGTGTAGAGCAATTAATAGATAAATGAGCAGGATAACCTCTGACCGTAGTGTTCATTTCTTTCGACTTTACGATCATTTACAAAAACGAATGGATATTAAAATAAACTACTACTGTATTCTGGTTAGTCGCTTTATTTTGTAGAGGAAGGATTTGATTTGTTTCATGTTTGACCATGGATTGGTATCAGTTGGTATCAGAAAAGCACTGAAAATCCCCAAGGAGTGCTAGACAGCTGTCTCTTCCCCCCCTCCCTTAGTTATGGACTCATCGCAGTACCCATCCTCTGTGTTTTGAACCCAGCACTAGTGGGCTCGATCCGGTGGGGATTAAGAACAAATACTCACTAATGGCACTGGAGACTGGTGGTCACGCTAAATTCACGAATAAGTATAAGTTAGAATTATTGGTCTGGCCATTGAATTGGGTCCTAGCAGCTGAATAATCTACTAGCCTTTATTGTTAAGTCTGAAAGATGCTGGGTTCCATACCTATCGGGTGGATACTGATGATAGGTTCCAAACTAGAATGAGGGGAACGAGAGACAGTTGCCTATTACTTTTTGCTGGTTTTCAAAGTTTCTTTATTCCTTAATTTTCTTTTCACACTTCCATCCCTTTCCACAACGTATGCTGATTACTCAGTGAAAATGTGCATTCATGAACGATTTTATTTGTTTATTTCATATGTACAAGTCTTTTGGTGAACCTATTGGTGACATGTTGTGTCCAATTTTTGTGTCTCGCTACTGATTGAATTCTGTCAGTTAACATACCTGCTGCAATCCTACTGAGGATAAATTGTGATCTTTAGTGGTTCATTGGGTAGGTACTTGACTGTAACACTGGATGATGCAGGTTCAAATTTCAGTCAAGGCTGGTGTACACTTAGGACTATGCATCCTTTATGCTACCGAGTCTGAAAAGACAGAAAAGTTTATATTCATGGATTCCTGCAGATTGCTTTCAGTTGTCAAACAACAGTTTCCTTTTCAGAATCAGAATACTAGTACTGGTTAACCATTGGTTTCTAATGTAAGTTTATTTTAGAGTGAGATTGTGTAGCGTAGTGTAGGATTGACAAACTTCTGCTATTGCAATGTGTGGTGATTGAAGTCTAGTGGTATGTACACTTGAATTTCAAATTACGTGTTACCAGAGAATCACCTTCCTCAATTAAAGTCTATAAAATGTCATACCTATCTAGATTTGTAGTTTTACGTAATACCATTTTATTTGGTAGTGTTTAGAAGACCTGTAGTAACTGAAGCTTTCATGATACCTTCAGTTTTATATGATATAACGACATGCCTAAACCACTTCTGTAACAAGTCAGCTAGTCGGATTGTTGCAATAGAACAATAGTATTGAAAAACCTGGGAGTACTAGACAGCTGTTTCGTCCTAGTTTGGGACTCTTCATCAGTACGCACCCACCGGGGTTCGAACCAAGGACCTTCTGGTCACGCTGTGTCGTGAATAGGCAGAAATTAGAATTCATGGGCTGGCCACTGGACTGGCGGGTCCCGGTGGCTTAATGGTATGCGAGCTCGCCATGTAACCAGAAGGTCCTGGGTTCGAACCCCGGTGGGTGCGTACTGCTGAAGAGTCCCAAACTAGGCTGACGAGAGAGCTGTCTAGTACTCCCAGGTGGTTTTCCAATGGTTCTCTAACTAATGTCAGCTCATGATGAAATCCTGAAATCAATCAAATCCCTACAAACCAACACTTGAGGAACAATAGTAATTGGTTTTCTAATCCAACTCAAATATGATTGAATCAAAGAGACATCCAAGAAAGATTTCAATTGATACTACCAAACAAAAATATCTTGCATTTCGAAAGAAGACATGTTCAACGAAGGGTTACTCATTTCAGAGATATCATTTTCAATGTTTACAATATATATATATATATATATATATATAAGAGAGAGAGAGAGAGAGAGGCTATAACAAAAGCTACCTACTGAGTACTAAGATAAATTAGGTCCATTGTGCAGGCTCATTGACTAACGCACTTCTTCTGCATGCACATGTAGATTACAGTAGCTTTTGAGGTTTGAAGAAGGTTGCTTTGTATTCCTGTTGCAAGATATTCTTATAACTATAAAGTTGGTTTGAGATTTCTCTTGGTGGCCAAGATGTCCAAGAATAGAACTACGGCAGTGGGGAACGTGGGCTATTCTTTGAAAAAACTGTTAGAGTAAATGTCCGATGGTATGTTTTGGCAGTAGATGCTAAATACAACCAAAAAAAACGTTCCACAGGAGCCAGTGAACTGATAAATACAGATTGATGAAGCCGTTATTATTAGTGTTGGCTTCATTTTTATCGGTTTTGTGGGGAAAGTAATATCAAGTTCAGCAGAGGTGGTTTTCTTCAATAAACGGAAGAAGTAGTTTCAAAGAATTTCTCCCTATGAGTCTCCTCGTGAATTTCTAATTCAAACATGGAGGTTTTTTGTTCAAAGAAAGTGTGTATGTGTTTTTTAGGTGTGTAGGCATCTTGGATTTTATGATGACATGTTCAAGGTATCTGTTTTTTAATGAGGAGATTACGTCAGAGTTCTCAGATGCGATTTTGATGTTGAACTTAGAGATGTTACTAATTCTGTTACTCATTGAGCTGTCCTTTCCATTTTGGCTTTCTGTGGATAAATCTCCTACAATATTTCACTATACTACCTTGTGAATCAAACATCCAGGAATTATATTCTTGAATTAGACTCCTTTTCTAATAGGAAATAGATTGTTGAAAAAAAAAACAACCCTAGAATATCTTTCAGACTCTCCAAAGAGCTATTCTGTAATTTCTTTTATTTACTGAATGTCTTCTCTTGGGTGAAATGAACAAAATCACCAAAGTGTTGTCCATCCTTGTAAATAACAGTGAGATTCTACGCTAAGATAAATAGAGTTGTGACGATATTTGAATACTCGTGTCAGTTTAAAACTCTATAAAAACAGCTTATCGTGTTATGTGATAATCTTTGTCAATAAACACAAACACACAAAGATGCAATCAGCAGTAATCCCTGGATCCAGTTTTCTTATCTAATGAAATACCTATCATCAAGACATATCAATGCAAAAACTGGCACGGAATTATGCTCCTGTCCATCCCAAGCGAAACACTAAGCCCCATCATCCTGGTGAGAATCAAACACGCCAACCTGGATGAAAAACTTCGACCGGAACAAGCTGGATTCAGGAGAAACAAGTCATGTATTGATCAAATTGCCACTCTACGGATCATCATTGAAAAAAACTTGGAATGGCAGTCAGTCACCTCTCTATCTCAACTACATCGACT